TCTTGTGCTCATTATATATATAGATTTAGTGCCACCACCATTTGAATTTGTTATTTTAAAGCAGCTTTGCATCCCACAAACACTAAACCCATCATAGTGAATCAGTGATCAAGTGATCATGAGAAGAAAAAAAAAACTATATTTGCTTGTACAAATTCTCATGCTCTTGATCAACCTTCAATTCTCATCGGGATTGAAGCTTAATTAATTACCTTGACATTCTTTAATACTGGATTATGCAACAAGTTGGTACCTCAGATAATGTTGATTATTCTCTTGCTAATCATTATTAATGTTGTATCATGTCTTATTGGTTTGAGTGCTAATATTTTGGATTTACACAATGGAGTTCTTGATTTTACTACAACAAGACAGAGATTAAGTGGAAGCACGTGTGCACAAAGCCAATTTCTATAGCCATATATATAGTTCTTTTCCTATGCGAATGTACGGACGTTATTACTGTGCGAGCGCCATTGTAAACATGGAGGAAAGCATGGAGGGATAGTAGAAAATACATAACGTCCGCATTGTAATAACATCTGGGACGTTCGCATAAGAGAACATATGTATATATATACTATTTTTCACACACAAATATGAATTTTCGAAATATACTTCATACTTTTGTATTATTACGTATTTAGTTGCGTTATGTTGTTAGTTGTTGATTTGGATTATACCTTTCAAAGTAACAATTCATCTAATCAACGGTTCTAATTCACAATCTCACACACATATAGCGTATCAATTTATAATAAGAGAAGTTTTTTCATGTAATATATATATATATATAAATAAAATATATGCTTGTTGAAGACTTGAAAGGACATATATATTTTGGCAATATATGTACTCCACCAAGAAGAGAAAAACCAATATGGTGCTCCACTAAAAAAGCATAGGGACCCAAAATAGGTACTAAATGAGGAACAAGTGTATCTATGATTATTACAATTGAATAATATTTACTTGATGAGTTGCATGAGTTAAAAGTTAAAGGAGGGCATATACCCTATGTCCATCCAGCTATATATATATATATATATATATACAACACAGGCAACACTCAATCAGAGTGCATTTCGACCAGTGACTACCAAAAATGATGATATTGATGTATAACTGGCATATAGTACAAATGTTCTGCCGTTTTTCTTTTTATCTAGGATTTATTGTTGGCTTTATTTATTTAATTAAATTATTTTTTTCGGTTCTTCTTCTTTTGAAGCTTGTGGAATAATGGTCAATCAAATTCACAGCTTTTAGATTCCATGAAATGAAACCTTTACACCAAAAGATCTATCCCCTTCTTTTCTTTTCTTTTGCACCAAATGATGAGTATTATTCTCCTCCTTTTTCATCACCTTATGATTCCTAAAGATGCTGCTTCGCGTACCCACAAAAAATATACATATATATATAAACAAACAATAATATCACAGCTGGTGAAAAGAAAAAATATATATAAACAAACTAAGAATAGTTGTACAGTTTCTTCATCTTTCTTCTTCTCCTCCTCCTTCCATATATGTCTCATGGATTTCTCTCTCTTTGACGAAAACACGATAAAAATGATTCACAAACGTCAAATCCTAAAAGAAGAACTGGAATCCACTAAAAAATAAAAATAAAAGTTTCCGAATTTTGTTGAAAGCATGAATAAGTTAAATAGAAAATATATAAATTAAGCCTAGGAAACCGAAAGTTGCAACATATTCTTAAAACTCAACTGACAAGAAAAATATATTACAATTCTAAACTCTCATGGTACCCGTGTGTGTGAGTTTCCCCCTTCTCCTTTTTAACTTTGACAAAATATAAAAATATAAAATTAAAAGAAATAAAAGGAAATAACCATATTAGGAAAATATATCATAATAGAAGACTTATTCTAAAATTAAAAATAAACAAGAAACGGCAATGTAGTATAGCTTAGTTTGTTGAGCTCTTCCACTTCCAATCTTGTGAGCAGAGGTTTGAAACCCCCAGACACTCAATGAATATATGTCTAAACCCCCATCCCCCAATCGCTTGTACAAAAGAAAAACAAGAAATTACAATACACCTTTCTTCTTCTTTTTAATGCCATATTTAATATTTGAACATAATTTTCCTTGTTTGTGTGCTTGATTGGAAATTTTGAACCATTTTATTTTCTTTACTTTTCTTCATTAGAATTGACTCATATTGTGTCTTATAGCACTCTTTATTTAAGGGAAAAAAAGGGGAAACAAGAGACAAATATTTTATCAGATGGACCATTAAACTCTAAGGGTTCGTTTGGGACTGCTTCTCTAGGGAGCACTTCTACTTATAATCGCTTCTACCAAAAGAGTTTTTATTATAAAGACGTTGAAATTTACATAAGAAATCGACGTGCTTCTTGGAAAAGCACTTGGGAGTGCTTCTTGAAGAAGCACATGACAAGTGTTTCTCCAGAAAGTGCTTCTATGACCCAAAAGCGCTTCTAAACTTTTCTGCCAAACGCTGTCATAAGCGCTTTTAGCTATTCTAGAAGCACTCCCAAATGGGCCCTAAGACTACATGTCATACAAGCTTTTGGCTTTCTAGTGTGATGGGGAGCTCTATTTAGTAGATAATGACTAATCATAGTTCTCATGAGTTTAAAGCTCATCAATTTAAGGGATATATTTAATCCAACATATGTGATGATCGTTTAGCTTGATTTACTAATATATGGCTCTTTTATTAAAATAAAGTATATTTAATCCAGTTGAATTATATCAGTTTGTATGTTTCACAACCGTTACCCAATACGAACCAATTCCAATTGACAATTGAATTTTATATCTTTGCGGTTTTTTGGTTCAACATCACTCTAACTCCACTCAATTTCAGGGTGCAAACATCATATTTTTTTGGGTTTTCTACGGTTTTGCCCCCTCAACAATTTGCATATTGTCAATTTAGCCCTTTAACAATTTTTTTGGATAAATGAAAGACTCCAATTATTTAAAAATCGCCAGTTGAGGGCCTACCGTCAATTCTTTCAAAGTCCATCCAAATTTCCTTCCAAATTAAGGGTAAATTCGTAATTCTATAAATAAAAAAATTAAAAAGAGAAAATTAAAACCTCACCTACCTTCTTCCCCATTGGTCTTCAAACAAACCAGGGTTAGGGTTTGTCATCTCTCTAAAGAACAAGTTTTCTTTTCTTTCTTGTTTTTCATTTTATTGGGCAGTTGAAGAACTGGAGGGAGTGGAGTGTGGAGAGGGACTTGAGAGCAGTGGAGGACAAAGAGACATCGTCGGAGTAGTTGGCGAGGCGGAGAGAGGAGGTGGTTGAAGGGCTGGGTCTTTGGAGGTTGGGATGTTGAGAGATTGGAGGGTTCTAAGTTGGTGGGGATGGGGGTTGTATGGTGGCGTTGGGCTTAATTTTTAAATTATTATTTTTTTAAAAATTATAAAATTTTGAATTTACTCTTAATTTGGACGGAAATTTGGATGGAATTTGAAAAAAATTGACAGTAGGCCCTCAATTGGCAATTTTTAAACAATTAGAGTCCTTAATTTATTGATAAAATTGTTGAGAGGCTAATTGACAATATGAAAATAGTTCAGGGGGCAAAACCGCAGAAAACCCTATTGTTTTTATATAAAAAGTAAAAAAAATACAATTTTAAAAATCCAAATAACACCTCATGCAACGCTAATGAGCAAAAAGAAAATTAACTGAAGTTGTTGGATTTGATTAAGCTTGGGCAACTTTCTTGCTCATCTTGACGGAGGCTACTCTACTCAGATTATTGAAATTTTAAATGGCAATTATGCGCATCTTGTATGCAATGCCTACGTATATTTTATCGTCTTCTTCTCAACTTTTTTTTTTTTTTTTTTTTTTTTCCCACTGAATTTGTGGAACGATCGATGTTCCTTGAATGAATAATTATAATTTACCAGGCATCAATTCAAAGGCCATTGGATAAGGAGTGAATTTTCAGAAACATATGGGCTACAACTTTACCTAGCTTTGTCCCTTCACCAAATATATATATGTTTATTTATTTAGGTATCAACACCATGAAAAAAAGGAAATTCTTTTTGCCCGCTGCTTTCTTTAAAACAACTATCCCATTCCATTCCCACCAAATTTTCATCGTTGGTGATGCGTATGTTCTTAATTTTTTTTGAATGGGGAATAAAGACAACCTAAACCCAAATTAAGAAAAGTTACATGACTAAATAAATAGTGCATGTATGAGAGAATCATACTCGTTAACAGGCTCTAACTCAATGGAAAATGGCATTAAACTATCGCTTTATTCAGAAAAAAAAGGAATCATACTGTGAACCACATCACTCTTCCTACTTTGAGTTGACTCACATTAAATATGTTTTTAATTAAATTAATATACAGGCAGCTCCTTAACCCATTAAAATGGCCATTTCATGAAATTAACAGATCATCATCCCCCTCTTAGCAAAAGAGACCCCGTTAATTGTTGGGATATGTAACCCAGAAAACATTGTGTTGTGTCGATCAACACTTTCTGTGTGGTCCCTATAAGATAATTATTATTATAATTTTTTTTTTCTTTCCAATTTAAGGATATTCAAACACTAAATCAGAGACACTTTAGTCCTTTGACCTAACCTTTAGCTTCACACTATAAAACATTGATTATATGCCCAAAACATTTCACCACAAAATATACATGTGTCTTGTGATCAATTGAAATCACAAGACAATCGTATACAACCCTCGGTTGCGTTAGCCTTTTCCCACCACCATAAATACCAAGCTCTCATCTCTTTTGCGATCAGGCAGGTTCAAAAACTTCAAGCTAGAAAAGCAGATCAAACATATCCACCTGACGTCATAAATCATTTTCTCACGAACCAAACAGTGTTTTTTTTTTTTCCGCCAGGTGTAAGTATTTTGAGAATTAGAAAGCTAATACGAGATCAGCTAGCTTTGCATATATACCTAGAGACAAAACCCATCTCACAATTCTTTTTAACTTTTTGCTGGCTAGCATCTTTCTGTCTCTGGTTTTTCTCTCCTCTCTTTCTCTACGGCAAGAAGCTCTTGTGCCTGCCAGTGCCAGGCCATTTTTATATCAACAAGTCGCCGCTTTTTTTTAAAGGTACAGTGGTCCAAAAAATCATGTGATGGGGCATGCTTTTCTTACATGTGTAATTTTGTGTATAAATTAATTTTCCACAGAATTGAAATCTTACCTGTGTTTTTGGGTCAACCTGGCAGGTTTCTATTAATTACAATGAGAAATTTCATGTCTGCCTGCAAGCAAGTACAGCCTATGGTGAGCTTCCAAGGCCCTCCTGGCTTGCCCAGCATCAACATGGATCCTTTTTTCCGGCGAAAAGATAAGGTTGTTTTTGTAATGGGAGCCACCGGAACTGGCAAGTCCAGGCTTGCCATAGACCTCGCAACCCTTTACCGCGCTGAGATTATAAACTCGGACAAAATGCAAGTCTACAAAGGCTTGGACATCGTCACCAACAAAGTCACTGAAGAGGAGTGTAGAGGCATACCTCACCACTTGCTTGGAAATATCGATCCAAACTTCAACTTCACAGCCAATGATTTCAAGCAGCATGCATCCTTGGCTATCGAAGAGATCTTGGAGCGCGACAGGCTCCCCATCATCGCCGGTGGCTCGAATTCCTACATCGAAGCTCTGGTGGACGACCACCCCGAGTTCAGAATGAAGTACGAGTGTTGCTTTATATGGGTAGATGTGGCGCTGCCGGTGCTCAACTCTTTTGTATCGGAGAGAGTGGATCGGATGGTGAAGGCCGGTTTGGTGGAAGAGGTGAGGAGAATGTTCGATTCCACTGCTGAAGCAGAATATACTCACGGAATCAGGAAGGCTATAGGCATGCCTGAAATGGATGAGTATTTGCGGGGCGAGGCTTGTGGTATCAACGATGAGGAAACGCAAGAGAGGCTTCTTCAAACAGCTATTTCCAAAATTAAAGAAAACCCTTGCATTTTGGCACACCGCCAATTGCAAAAGATTCGTCGGCTCTGCAGCCGTCGAAACTGGAACATGCATCGCCTCGACGCCACAGAAGTATTCTTAGAGCAACGGGTGGAGGCCGATCAAGCATGGGAAAAACACGTGGCAAGACCCGCCACGAGGATGGTTGGTAACTTCCTTGTAGACCCAATGCCCACAATTCTTCCATCCGACGCTCTTGCCACAGCCACCGCGACTACCACCACGACTGTTCTTGCCACATCTATGCCCGCCGTGGCCACCGCAACCCGCTAGATAGAGTAAGTAGGGTCTGGCTCAATTCGACATGACGCCACGTGGCAGGCTGCAGCTTTTTTTTTTTCCTTCTTTGTCAATTTGTTCTCATCTTAATCATCGGCTGTGACTCTATGGTAAAAAAAAAAAAACAAACAAACAAAAGAGAAATCAGAAAAAGAACAAAAAGAAAAGACATAGTTACGGTGAGAGTCGTTGTCAGGTGGTTAAGTTTGCCTTTTTTACATTGGGTGGCCGTACAGTTGGAAGCATTTTAGAAATCCGTGCTGGGTGGCTGCTGCTTTAAAAAGTTGGAAAAGGGTTCGAGATTCTCTGCTTGCACGCTCTCGCTGGGCCTTCTTCTTCCTTTCACTTTTCTGTGTCGTCCGTCCGTACTGCGCTGTGCGGTGCGCCTGCAAATCAATCATCAATCATCAATATTGATGGCATGGTGAAAAGAGACTGTGGGGCCCATCCATATATGTGAGTGAGAGTCGTCCAATAAGCTCTGGGCCCCATTTATTGTGTAATGTATATGAGTCAGCAGAGAGAGAGAGGTGGTTTTTTTTTTTGTTTTTTGGCCTTTTTCATTGTGTGCCGTACGTCTTTTTGACATGGAGCTCTTCCCTTCTTACCTCCTTTTCTTTTTCAAATGTATATTGCTAATTTGCTATGGTATATATGAGATTGGGGATTTGGGAATTTCCAAATGCGTGCGCGCATTTAGCTTCGATTCTAAAGTTGAGTACCAATGCGAACAAATTCAGAAGGAAAGTGTTGAAATATAATCAAAGTTTATTGAATGGAGTTAGGTTTGACATGAAGAATGAAAAATTAAGAAACCAAAGGTATTTCCATACGAAGAATTGAAATATCAGATTAGATTGAGTTTTAATAAGAAAAACAACTCATTGATAAACATGTTGATTTTAAATTTCAAGTTAAATTGAACTTGATGAATTGTTTACGTATATAAAATTCGTCATAAGATTCACACATAATAAACGAGGGAGCCCTTTCTATTGATCAAATTTCAAGTACAAAGAAAGATGAACCACCTTCTTGGACAACATGCATCGAAAGGTGAAAGAACCTGCAACGTGGGAGGGACATAAGCCTAGGGATTTGATGGAAGTGAATATGCTGTAATTGACAATATTTTTTAACAGCTAGCTTCTATAGGCTGTGATTAGATTTCTGCAACTTACCTATTGCTGAATTACAATGGGAATCTTTGAAATTAAGGGGACCGAAAGGAAAGCTGCTGTAATTGGTAGGGTCGTCTATCCAAGATCCCTTATCGTTTTCATGCCAAATGATTCCAAGTTCCAACTATATATATTTTATAATCATGTGGGTACCCTTTATGCCCACTCAAGCACTCACCACCACCTCTTATGTTAAAAGGTATGTATAATATGTGGACCAACTCGAGAACACCAAGAAAGGAAATAAAAAAGAAAAACATCTTGTGTTCTTAAGCTTCATGGCATTTCTAAGAAACGTTACATTAAGGGGTCATAATCAACTTTATTAAAGGAGAGTTTATAGGGATTGATTTTCATATGAGAGCGGCAAATGTATTTAGCTTATTGGTAGGAAAGAAGAGGATATCTAGGAAGCCAGCCTAGCCAGGCCACTTAAAAGCTCTTATTAGGGTTAATTACAAATTGAAGACCTATAACCTCAGTTAATTTGAACTTGAAGACCTACCCAGTGCCACGCTACAAAATATAGAAGGCGTGTAACAATTTGTAATTTTAAGCTTATCTCCGAACTAGGCGACTCTAAAATATAATTGACTTTTTTCCTTCTCCTTATGTACAAACTATATATTTTTAACAAGCGATATCTTTGGCGAATGTCCACGATTATGTGAAATGAGACAAGATGCTAGCCACAAGACAAGATGGGTCGTGAAAGTAGAAGTATTCCTTGTCATTTCACTGTCTTGTTATCCTTGATCGATTACTAAAGGAAGGAAAGAAAATCAAGTTTGATTGGAACGGGAAATAATTCCTATTGTCTTTAACGATGCCTAGCACCGTCCATTCAACTCATACGTTAATTCGTACTGAGCAAGGACAAAAGAAAGATCAAACTTTTCATCAAACTTCGTCGTCGTGATTGAGAATGTATGATATAACATGATACGCCATAACAGGCAAAGGTTGTACAGCTAGCTAACTCTCTTTAGAATTCGACCAAAAGAAAAGCCAATAACTCTTTAGAATCTTTAGTTGTCTTGTAGTCGGATGCACATGAAAAGGGACAGTCCACTCTACGGTATTGTAGAGGTTGTAATTTCTACGCCATAACAGGCAAAGGTTGTACAGCTAGCTAACTCTCTTTAGAATTCGACCAAAAGAAAAGCCAATAACTCTTTAGAATATATCTTTAGTTGTCTTGTAGTCGGATGCACATGAAAAGGGACAGTCCACTCTACGGTATTGTAGAGATTGTAATTTCGATCATAGTGCTTATACTAGTACAAAACATGCTATTGCTGTCACAATTAATCTTCTGGGTGCCTTCCATATTTAACAGTTTCTGTCCATTTTATCAATCAACAAGTTTTGTTTGAACTTGCAAGTTGCAAGTACAATGAACCACAATATATGTTTGATTTGAGTGTTCGAAATATCGCTTAATTATGACCTCTTTAATCACCGGAAAGATATAGATATACCAGTAAACTAACAGTTAGTTGGTCAAACTTGGCTTGAGTTATAACACGTATGATCTTCAATTGTCTTTAGTTTTCTTTTCTTTTCTTTCTTCATTTTCTTGATTAAGTGGTAGGCCTAAAAGAAACAAAATATCATATCCATTGTGTCCTTTAAAGTACTAGACAATTATTAGTGAACCATGCAATGCACACTCTTCCAATAATTTCTAAGCATAGCACATGCCAAGAAATGGGCACTTTTGGATTGAAAATGCAACGCCAACCGCAAGTTCCTATGGTCAAGTTAAGATAAAGCTTCAGATGCGAACGAAAAACAATTGCAAGTGTACCGTATATGTCTACAAAGAAATGGAAAAGCTGCCAAGAATGCTGTCCTGGTCAACTTGAATTAATCAAACCCTACATTAATTTCAACCTATTAGAAAAAAAATAAAAAAATAAATCTATAACCCCCTCTTGCACTAGTCTTTTAGTTCTTCTTAGCAACTTGTTTCCATGCTTCTTTTTCAATGCGCAGTTTCTTGGAAACTTTAGTCATTTTGTCTGGTCTTCGTGTTGTCTGTTGGCGGTGGTATTTGTTTTTAGGGCTTGAGCACCAGTTTCTTGTAGTCTTGCAAGTATTTTTGGAATTTTTGGGGGTTGAGCTCACTGCTGTCTTTAGCAGGTGATGTGCAAGCTTGTGTACAACTCAGAAACGCGTAGCCACGACCGAATGAGAGAGAGAAAGAGAGAGCAAAACACGGTTTTGGCGAGGGATGTCGGGATTTTCATAACCACTTCTATATATATCTATTAATATATCTTAATCTTTTGCATAGCTCATTGGTCATGCTCAATACCTATTAATCTTGGTTCAATAATTGTTGAAGGATACATATAACTAGTGATGCCATTGAGTATTATACAAACAAACAAAGACCGGTCGTGAGATTCACGAATTCGAGGTTTGTCTTGCTTTTTATTCGAATGTGTGGTTCAGATTCACAATTTAACAATATATAAGGATTGTGTGAAAACACAAGTGTTATAAGAACATTACCCTGCATCAATTAAAAATGAATTTCGTATATATTATTCTCGCCTCATGGGAAACATCTTAGAAAAAATGAAAAGAAAGCATCTATATTTCTTAGATAGATTCGTACTTAATCATAATTAAGAACCATGGTGAAAGTGATTAAAGGTCAATCCTCACGGGTAGAGATATACATATTTATATATTATGGCTCCAAAGTCCAAGCACGAATTAATATGAGATGAGAATGAAAAGTCAACTAATTGCTGCATATATATTCGTCTGATCCAATATATGGGGGAGGTGAGAGGTTGAGATTCTTGTAAGTGGGTCTGCTCTATCTGGAAGCTCAACTCAGAGGACGAAATCACACACACCAATTTGGATGAATTCAAATTCAATATTTGATGATAAAAAATCTATATAAAAAAATAACAAGAAAATCTTTTACTTAGATTTGATATAAGCTTAGACTAGATTGTCATCTGAAATCATATGAAATCCTCGAGGCAGTCATTTGAAATGATCTCAAATAGATTTGATCCCAATGTTTATGGGATATTTGAGTTTGTCTCAAATCATCATCTTTAGACTAGATTATCTGAAATCTCAAATAGATTTGGCCCCAATATTTATGGGGGATTTGAGTTGAGCTTCTTGGCATTCTGAATACATTACAATTAAGGTGATAGATTTTTATTAACCACAACAATTTTTAAATTCCAAACACAAGATGCACATGCAGTCCATACACTATAAACAAACAAAACCTGCTTTTTATCTTATCCAGATAAGAATATTCGGCTAAACAAGACGGTTAATAAGAAGTTTGAGTAAGTTCCTATCTATTATTATTCTTTCCAAGTTGGCTAGTATCAAAATTTATCTTCAAGGGTTTATTATTCCATGAGATAGAAGAATAAAAAAAAAGTATATTTGAAAATTTTAATTACTTTTATATAGCTTTACCGATGTCCCTCGATAAATTGTTATTTTACTATTATTCTTTAGAAATGCACCAAAAGCTATATAAAAGAAACAATTTATATATCACTTTGACAATTATGGTATAGTTCAAGGGGCAAAGTAAAAGCTATATAAATGCAGCAAAAGCATAAAAAAATAATGGCTTATTCGAAAATTGAAAATTGAGTGGTTGAGAAATAGGAAAGGAACAGATGTAAAAATCATTCAAATGGGGACCTCTACGTTGGACCTCTCCTATGTGGCGCTTGTACAAGCCCTTAGAGCATTTCCAGTGGAACAGGCTAGCCTGGGCTGGAGGGAGCTTGAGGCCCGTTTCACGCTTCCAGCAGGCATTTGCAGCCCAGGCAAATGGTGGGGGCCACCAAATTGGGCAAGCCTAAAGGCAGATCGAGCCCATGCTCTTGCGCAAAAGCTGATGTTGGCATCAGCGCACTAGTTTGAATATTTTTTTTATAATTGGCGCATGGGTTAGACGCGCCAACAGTAAAAAAAAATTCATGGAGGGAGCTTGAGGCCCGTTTCACGCTTCCAGCAGGCATTTGCAGCCCAGGCAAATGGTGGGGGCCACCAAATTGGGCAAAGCGAGAGACAATGTTCAAAGTGGCTAAAATCTTTGCAATAATGTAAATTATTTGTAATTGCCATTTTATTAAATTTAATGTTCTATTTTTTGAAATTATCTTATATTTCCATTTTTTTAAAAATATTATAGATTATGCAAGCACAAATGTGGTTCGGTGCCATTGGCTAAGGCAAAAAATCTTTCAACAATCACAAATGTTGGGAGGTTGTGAAAAATTGTTCGAGATTCAAAATTATTCTCACGGGTTCGACTGTTGTGTTGAATGAGACGCCGCTCTGCGATTCACCGGCATCAGATTCACTGTTAGAGTCCCCGATGAATCAAGACTCACCAATCCAAAGGGAGCCGATGCCTATTGAGAGAAAAGCGGCAAAGGCTAAGAGAGGGAGTAATTCAACTAATGAATGTGCAAAATTTTTGGAAGAAAT